TGTCAGCCCAACATCAGTGTCCTGCCTTCCCCTAAATGCAGTGGCCAGCAACCATCCCTACGCTTTCACAGAGGTTGAAAAAAGATTGATGTCATTCTACAAATTCCAGATCCATCAACCACTGTCCCCAGTGGTTGTCACTCCAGACCCCGTTCCTTTCAATAATACATCGGTCCCTTCCGTGATCCTTGCTGTGTCCAGCGTCAGGGATCCAGCGAGTAAAGGATAACTGGTAGGTGGAGCTTGGACAGAGGTGGGATGGACAAGGGATAAACATGAAAAGGTGAAGATTTTACCAAAAGTCTGAGAAGATGTGGGCCAAATTACAGAACTCCCTGTATCCATTTCTGTGCCAGGATTATGCTGAAGAACGCCGTGCTATTACCGTATATCTGTATTTGGAACCCGTTAATATTTGTCAGGTTGGTTAACATGGCAGTATAAAAACTTATGTTAGCAAATAAGTCAAAACTTGCTGCGTGACAATCTATATGCATTGAAATGTATTCTTTTCAAATGTAACACCATATTTAGTGCATAATTCCTCAAAATTCCTAGTCTGGCTCAGTTAGTAATTAATCACATAGAAAGGTCGCTCCCCCCAGCCCCTCCTTTGATTGCTTCTTAGAAGGTGACATGGTGGTCCCTACTCCAAGCTCTTCATCAAGCATGTAAGCCTTTAAACAGTACTAAGAAACACTTGGACTAGTCCTGTGGTTCTTATAAAATCACTAGTCAGAACACTTCTAGTAGGTGGGAAGAACACTTCTGACACTGCAACCCCCTAAGAGCATGTTCATGTTAAGTGGTTAATCCTGAAAAATGACCATTAATAGGGCAAGTAGGGGTTTCTATTTACAGGTAGGCTTAAGGATGAGTGCTACCTCATATATGCAACACAAAGCAGTATGCAATGAGAAAAGATAAAACACTAGCAATTAATACTACCAGTAATGAAGCAGTCATTCCTCTGCCTTTTTTTTTTTTTTTTTCCCCTCTCATGAATATAGTAGCAGGTGGTGGGAATGTCAGAGCACACACAGTAACTTCTCATTGCATGGTTATTTCTTCAGCTAATGAAGCCTTTTGAGAATACTTTTCAAGCCACTTTTCCAGAATGGAAACCAGTGTTGCAGACTTAATATTATGTTGGCTATACGTGAATATTATTTTTTTAAAAAAAACAAAACACTGGGGGCCCCCACAGGGTATTGTAAAAATTCTTAGTTTTACTAGTCTATTTAAATATACAGTTTTCAGAGTTCTGAATACTGCGCACCGGTGAAAGGTTATTTTAAGCTAGCTTCTTATTGTCTGAGAGAGAACAATATGTAACTATTAGTAGGAGCTCTTAATAGGTTAGAAAACTTCATGACACCCCGAATGTGAACTACTTAGTTATTAACAAGAGGGATTTTGGACTCCTGGGTTTGTTTTCTGTCTCTCACTAATGCTCTGTACAAAGCTGGGCAGGTCTGTAAGAAAAATCTGGGGATAATAGACTATCTTATCTATAAATCGGTTAACAGTCAATGCCTATCTGCCAGAGAGAGGGGAATATGAGAAAGAGGGAATGAAGAGTGATGGGACAAAGCCTAAAAATACTTGTTTGATGCCCATACCTTCTTAAGGACCATCTAGCATAATATCCCTTACAGGGGCCAGTAGCAGATGTCTAGGGAAATGTATAAAACAAAGACATGTGTAATGATAGTTTCCCAGAATATTCTTCCAAGTTCCAACAACTGAGCCAAAATGGTTTTCTATTTAATAGCCCAATAGACTGAAAAAAAAAGAAATATTGGAAGGAAAAAGATGACTTCTGGAATCAATGCAAACTTCTAGTCCCCATACTACTTTCTGCAGTATGTGCAGTAAAATACTCGGTCAGGCTACAGTGTGCATGGAAAAACCTACCTCCTTTTTGAAACGAAAGCCTGCTGGGTTTGTTGGAGACCCCACTACTTCTTGTCTTGGAATGATTAGTCTCTGTTTCTTCCTTGTTACTGTCTCTGTGTCTTCTTTCCACACTGGAGAGTCGTAATTGTTCTTCACTTTAGATTATGTTAAGATGATCAAGAGGCAAAATTTCTCTCTTCCTCACTCCAGCTGATTATCTTCTATAAGTTATTTTTGGCCTGAACTTGTTTTTGCTTGGGAAGAGGTTTGTTGTTGAAAGTTTGTAGAAGTCTACAGAAAGAGCCTTTCTTTCTCATCAGCACAGGAAGGAAACTTGTTGCAGTACTAACAATGAAACTTGTCTGGTTTTATGGCTGAAGATTTCTGATTTTTAGTGAAGGGGAAATATTTACTGAAGGATTTGGGGGTTTGGTTTTTTTAGTTCTGTGAGCCTTTGAAAACATTCCCTCATACTCCTTTCTGGAGGCCTTCCACATTTTAGACTGCTGCCTAGAACATAAGTATATTGTTCAAAGAAACTTAAAAGTGATGTTTCTGTCCTGTTGACATAACCTATTTCCAGTTGTGGAAATAATGATACTCTTTTTCACTCAATCCTGTGTAACCCCAGAAAAATAATTCTCTGACTACTTATTGCGAAGCCTACATAAGAATAGTGCAACTCAGTAATATACCTGGAGGTAAATGTATTTTCTGGATTTTCTAAATGTATACGTTCATATAATTGTATATCTTGTACACTTAATGGCGTATGTTTAAAATACAGTGTGACCCAATTACAGTTGCAATAGAAATAATAATAGTAGTAATAGAAACCTTAATGTGATGGTGCTTGGGGTTTGGGGGTGGGTGGGTTTTTTTGTTAATTTCCTATTTTTTATGTTAGTTTCTGGCTTTACTGTTTATGAGAAGGTATGTGGACAGCGTGGTCACGGTGATGCTGGGGACTGCTTGTAGAAGTCGATACTGAGCTTTCTTTAGCAAGTGTTTGGTCCTTTGTGACTTGTCTACATCTTACAGCTTGTGTGCTGTAAGTTAGGCTGTAAATTTATAGTGCATTAGCTGTTATATAGAAAATTCCATGTAGATGTTTAGCACATGCGGAAAACATTTCCATTCAGCAAGGATTCCTGCGTGTTGAACGTGCTGCACTCAGTTATTCTTTGTGTGGTGAGATCATTCACAGCGAGGTCAGTACATAGTAGCAAGTATACTATGAGCTTGTGCCCCTAACTTTGCCTGTTTTAATTTTCCCATGTATTCAAGGGAGGGGAAAACTTTTTTTTTCTTTAATCCATTCTTCAAAACAAGCAGTGGAAAAACTCTTAATGTCTGCACATGCAGGTCTCTAGATGAGCTCAAACCCACACCACGCTTCAGCACGTGTTTATGAAGTAAGTCAGGGCAGCAGGCAGTTTCTTAGTAGGTAGGTATATAAATTATGCAACTTGCTGTCATTCCTAGGAGTAAACAGGAAGTTCTCGCAGAGATCCTAATGTTTTTTTCAGAGGTTCATGGTGGATGACACAGAAACTGTGCTCTTCTCACCTGTGTTGGTAACACATCAGATAATCTGCTGATGTGTACAGCATAAAAACTTAAACCCTAAGGTGTGATCTGTCCAGAAAGAGCTATTGTGTTACGGTGGAATAAGGCAGGGTAGTCTCTCGCTACCTGGCCTATCTCAAATCCATGGAGAAATAGAGGACTTTGTTTTCCTGCTTGGCAAGTCTGGCACCTTTTAATGAGCAGTAAACTCACTTTAATATTAAAGCTGGGACATTTTTATGGTTGAGTGTGTCTTGTGTATTCTTGGGGTGAGAGAATCATGCAGCAGCACTGAGCGGTTCTGAGACCCAGAGGACAGAGCTGCTCGGTTTTACTTCGCGATTCTCCTGCCTTTAAGAGCGCACAGTGCACTTTTATAACCATAAGACTGTTCCTATCTGTGCATGTAAACACATAAATGAGCTGTTTTATACTGGCAATTAGATACTCCAGAGAGTTGTGAAGCAGTGAGATATTGCTTCACTTAGGGTGGTTGCAACTACTTGGCCCACAGCCTACGGCTTTGTTGCCTGCAATAGGTGTTAGCAAATGGCAATGCTAATGCGCTTAATGATATCATTACTAATCGGCAGCCTGGTCAGAACAATTGACCTTCATTGATTTTGGTATTTCTGCTTTTATTTCTTCCTCTGCCCTTTATGACAAGCTGTGCAAGCTATTTGCCTTTGAAAGGATGTAAGCAGTTATATTGTAACACTTTAATTTTAGTTTGACTGAGTTATTTTAATGAACGGTATTATGAATTGTTTTTTTTTTTTTAAATCAGTGTGCCATGCCGAATTGAATGCCATCATGAACAAAAACTCAGCTGATGTGAAAGGCTGCAGCATGTATGTTGCCTTATTTCCATGTAATGAATGTGCAAAACTCATCATTCAGGCAGGTAAGGAGTAGTGCCAGCTTAATTTGTCAGGGTTGCAGTGCTGCCTGCTCGTTGGTATCTTATCACAGATGTATTTGATGTTAAATTGCTGCTGTTAGATCTAAATTAATTGCACTGTCAACTTCATAAGATGCTACTTGTGGGTTTTTTTTGCATCTGAATGGTGCCAAATTTTTCCAGTGCTAATTGCATCTTCTGTGATTCTAAGCGTGCTTCTAATTTAGGTTTGTAACTTCTTAGACCAGGAGCTGCCAAAGAACAACACGGGCTTTGCATATAATTACTGTCAATTTTACTGTGCTCTGACACATTGAATAGAGTAGGGCAGAAAGAAATAAACTTCTGCATGACAAAAGGTCTGTTGGGAGTATATACATGAAATTTTAATTTGAATGTGATGCATGGTAGATATTTGAAGATTTTAAAATATCTTTGCTCATAAATGTCATAAGACTTCTATGATCCTACTTTAATTATGTCTTTCATTACAATTGTTATAAATCTGTGCCACTGCAGCAAGTGTGCTGGCCTAAATGTGTCGCCTTTTTTCAGACTAGGCATATCTGCAGTAGGCTTCAGTTCCGTAAAAATCTCTGCTTTAAGGTAGCATATATTTTGGTCATTGAGTAAAGTCTTGCAATCCGAGCGTGGATTGCTATTCTGGGGAATTTCTCTCATCGCTAATGGCCACGGGAATTTAGGAAGAAAGTAGCAAACAGAATCCTTCTTTATTTTGGTCAGTAAGGTTGGAAATGAAGAGAGGCGAAGGGGGAAAGACGATGGTATGCTGTATTTGTGCTACATTTCTCTTATTTACAGAATCAAAATCAAATGGTCTTCAAAGTAGATTGGCTGTTTGTTCGCAATGTAGTCACTCATCCTTTTCCTTATGCACTTAGGTCAGCACTAAATTGCAATGTGTTGATATTTATGTTGCCTGGCAAATACAGTAAGGTGTTGATAGGCTCCGAAACGCTTGTATCTTCTCTTGGGTCAACCTTTACACTTCTCCCCCGCCTAAGTAATTTAGGCATAGATCATTCAATTTGAGACAGCATGTGTTTATGAGGATTTGAACCTGGGACTGGGAGTTATTTACAAAACGGGGAACAAAAGGAAAAAGCATCCTTTTATAGCTATGCATTTGGAAGGGGAATGGGATTTGGGATTTAAGTTCTTTGTGGGGAATTTTATCTGTATTAGAGAGGTAGAAAGATAAATTTTCAATTACTTTTGCAAAAATACTTTATTTCTAGTCTCTCTATCTTGTGGTTTTGCCCATGAGTTTTTGGTTCTGGTTTTCTGAGTTAAACTTGGGTAAAAGTGGAGAAAAATATTTTCCAACGTTTCTGAAAGAACGGTCTTCCAAAACAGCTCTACCTTACATAGCCTTGTTCTCAAGTACAGCCTATAGTAATTTGGGAAGTAGGGGTGTACCAAGGAGTTCTAGAGTATGTGGATGAATGCTGCCTTTTCTGATTTTGTGCACCAGTTTTTATATGACATTACTTTTTTTTTCCAGTGTAATTCTAACATTTTTTTTCTGTATGCCTTTTTTAGGCATAAAGGAAGTTATTTTTATGTCTGACAAGTATCATGACACTACAGAAATGACAGCTGCACGGCGGATGTTTGATTTAGCAGGTATTACGTACAGGTAAGAGAACGTTGGATTAACTTAGTTTTTATTTTTTAAAGGAAGAAAGGTGTGTGAAAGAGACCAACTTTAGGGCAAAAATTTTTCTTCTTTGCATCTTGCAGCATTTTATTCTTTGGTAGTGTTTGTAGATGGCTTGCTCTGTATGCCTGCAAAAGGTACGGGATTGACAGACTGCACCATTCTTTTTGCCTTGTGTCTGGTTAAATTTCAATTTCTTAACGTTTCTATGAGAAAATGGTCCATTTGGAATATTCATTTCATTCCTGGGCTGCAAGTGAAATTGCGAATGTGATGATTATTTGTTACATTGTACTCAGGTGAGTCATTGCTGACCCTGCTTGGAGAAGGAGGTTAGGCTAGATGACCTCCTGAATTCCCTTACAACCTGAATTATCCTATCATCATACGAGTTGGACTGAAATGACCAATTTTTTTTTTTTTTTAATGGATTACCTGATCCTTACTGAAACTTTAGTATCTTTTTGTGGCAGTCAGTTTGGGAAGGTGTCACACCAGCCACGCATAATTAATTATTGATGCCTATAGCTGTCCAGTCTTCTTTGGTCAGCTTTTCTTGTGAGAAAAGGACCAAACTTGGAATATTTGCCTTAAAGTAATGAGAATCTGAAAAATGTTTGAAGAGTGGGATTTTTAAAGACACTGACAGAAATACCTAAAGACAATCTGTTCAACAGCTAGTTTGATAGCAATAACATGCTGTGGGTGAGGCTAATTATGCAGTCAGGGAGGCTTTGCGACTCTAAAAAGTTTTACAATATTAATATAAAGGCTTCAAAAAATTTGCAAACATAACAATTCTGACAGATAAAATTTTAGGATGAAAGGTACCTACTGGGCTAAGAAACATCCATGAAAAAACGCAGCAGTACTTGAAATTCAGTTTTAGTCCTTCAGTGTATTTCCTGTCTACTAAGACTATTTGACTAAGAAGCATAAATCATTCTCTTGCAAGTCAAATCTTGTAACTTCTCCAGGGTGAGAAACGTTTCTTGCATTTCAGACTGCTATTCTGGACAAAGTATTCAGAGTTTCTGTGGTCAGCAGCATGTGCTTTTCTGTGTTGACTGTTACTCATTCTTGTATGGATTATTAAGGATGTAGGTGGTACTTAATGAATCTCTTGAACTGAACTGCAGAGCTTAATTAGGCACTAAATCCACACTATTTGCATAATCCTTTGTTTACTGGTAGACTGGAAAATATATGCTCAGTCCCCAAATATCTTCCTTGCTAATTGCTGTAGCAGATGCTCTAATGATAATAAAAGGAAACATTTTGTGGCAGTATTAATTTTACAGTTCTAAAGTTACAATTTTAAAATGATTCCCTCTCAACTAGTTAGGTTTTTCCGCAGTATGATGCATAATGTTTTCTATTCCCCTAGCACAAAAAATATTTTAATATACTGGGGCAAAGTTTGAAAGTGTTCTTTGAAAACTTGGCAGGAAAAAAGTGATCAAAACATTTATCAAAATATATTCCAAATATCTTTTATACATACATATATATACATATATGTGGATATACAATACAGATACAGTATATTAAAATATTTTTATGGATACATATATGTGCACCTGTATCTGTAAATAAAAAATATAAATATTTTTGTTCATGTAGATTTCAAATATTTTAATATAAAAATATTTGAAATATATATGAACAAAAATCCCAGCCCTGGTAACATGATGCCACCACCTGCAGCTAAGTTGTTAAAAGTCCTTTGACTCCTGGGTAACGTATGAACTCCAATAGCCGAAGAACGTACAGGCTAACCCACCCCATGTGTCTTTTTTGTCTTAGTCTTTCTTGTCCAGGTTTCTCTCAGTGTGGTGCACTATAATTGGCTCCCATAGAGATGAAAACTACGTGAATCCAAGGAGGGCTCTTTTTTTTTTTTTTTATTGCTTCAAAAATTTAGCTGGAGCTAAAGCAAGCAAAATGTTTTAACTACTTACTGACTAATATCGGTGTTTTTCTTTATTTTAGGGAATTCAAGCCAAAGTGTGACAAGATCATCATCGACTTTGATTCAATTAACAGCAGACCAAGTCAAAAGCTCCTGTGAATTAAGTCTCATTAAGTGTCTAGAAGACTGTGATTATCCTTTTCTAAAAAGCTGCTAATGCCTTTCATCTTGAAGTTACTTGCAACTTTTTAATGGCTTCTGTAGCTAAAGTAGACTTCTAAGAAAGAAATCCAAGGCATAAAATGTCCCCCTCACTTCATCTTGTCATGTGGAATCTAAATCTACTTAAAATTTCTTAATGCCTTTATCAAAACTGCTTAAAAAGTCTAGAGACATGTAGATGAGACAATATAATGTCTGTAAAGACAACTGTTCTGATTCTTGCTGTATTCATCACCACGTGCTCTGATAGGCTGTCAGCATTGATTTAGACTTGGTTTAACAGTAGTACTTATTGTAACCAGTAGTACAGTGGAATATGCTAATATATGTTGATCTCTGTTGGATATGTGGATCTAAATAGTTGATCCTAATAAAGGACAAAAAATGTTATTCGTGCAAATACTAATCTTCCAACTAGCGTAACACTAATATTTTAAAAGGTTATACAGCTTAAAGAATGTGTGATATTCTGCATGTGTTGTCCAACAAATGAAGTACTGATTTTTCTTTTAATTGCTGCCTAACACTGTCATACATGGGGAGGGGTGAGGGAGGAAGTTGTTCTGAGAATGGTCGGTGCCGGACCGAGCTTTACAGGTGCTTTCAAGTCCTTGTTTTCCCCAAGACCGCAGAATTGGAGGGGGCTGAGGGAGTAAATCATTTGGCTGTCTACCTTTGGGACTTTTACTTGGAGTTGGTTTTCATATGTAGAAGGAAATTATTTTATTGGTCTAAGCTGTTTCTAGACAATCCAACATAGTTCAGGCTTAAAATCAACCTGTACGGTAACCGAATCATTTTTTGTCCTCTGAGAGAAATTGGAGATAGTCAACCCATATCCATATCTGTGCCAAAAGAGGTAATGATGGTGTTAGCTTGTTTCCCAGTGCTGGCGTAGTACCTTCATTTTCATAAATGTTGCCTAAAATAATATCCTTTTTAATTTTATCTTGAGATCTGGGAATAGATTTGAGTTCCTTTTCTCTAATTTGATTTTTTAAAATTAAATATGCCTAATGGCTTTGTTTAGATAACATTGGTGGTGGTTTGTTTTTTTTTAAATGTGGTTATACTTCAATGAGCTTTTATTTTCTCTGTAAAAGCTTTGTTTCATGTTTTGGGACATTATGTAATTTGGCTTCATACCAGTATTATTAAAGTCTTATTAAAATCCACTACATTGAAGTAGACTCATTATTATAATATTAAACCATGTGCTTGGCTCCAGAGTGCTGCTGGTTTTGCAATCATACGCAAAGCATATTTTGTGCATTTGTGGTATTACATAAAGTATAATGTTCATGAACCATTTGGCTACTAAAGGGAGCACTGTAATGTATTGTAAGATGTGTCCATTTATAAAGTAATTTCTGACTTTCTCTTTTTTTTCCTACAACTGTTTTCCACCTCAAAATTGGTGTGTGGCTTACTGCCAGAAGAAGAAATTTGCACATATGTGGAGGGGGAGGGTGAAACCTGAAAAATTACTTTAATAAAATGTCACTAAACCAGCTTATGCACATCTTTTTCTTCGGCCTGAATTACTAAGTAGAAGCATTTTGAATTATACTGGTCTGACAATGGGACAGAGGGGAGAGAAGAAGCAGAATTTCTGGGTTTGGCAGCAAAATTGCTGTTTTCTTCATAGATAATTGCTGATCTAAGTTCAGACTTAAAAGATATATGCATTGTGATTCCGGTTACTTTAAGCATTTTTATGTCAGGCCTTGGATAATGGGAATGTATGATGTGCATAAAAACTCAGGAGTTTTTTGAACCGATGTCCACGTGTTTTTAGGAATGTACTATTTTTTTATAATGACTTTTTTTTTTCCCCAGGACTTCCCTGTTTGTGTAACAGAAGAGCAGTACTGGCGAATATGATAGGATTTTAGATTTTCTCCAATCAGGTTTTGATCTGATAGAGCCTCATATACAAGCTTTCAGAGTAACTGGCAGTTGACTCAGGCTAAGTAAGTGGGCTCTCTGATTTCCAGGGCAGCTTTATGGAAAGGGGAAAAAAGCACAGGGACACTTTTGAGACAGCGCGTTCTTAGTTTGAGGTTAATGTTTTAGAGCAAATCTTAAAGAAGATTTGACCCTTACTTCGCGTGCATGCCTAGAAATCTGTATGCTTCTGGCTTTTTTTGTTTTAATAGTTCAGGAGATAGTGCTTTGACTTCCACATAAAGAATAATTACTAGAGGAAACAATGAAAACAGGTGAATATAATAAACTGTGTTTCTGCTCCTGAAGCTCAAGGTCAAGATGAATAGAACCATTTGGGCTGGAGGGACCTCTGGAGGGCGTCTCGTCTTACCCCTTGCTGAAAGCACCATTGACTTGCAAGTTAGGTCCAGTTGCTCAGGCCTTGTCCAGATGAGTATCTCCAAGAACAGCAATTCTGCAGCCTTTCTGGTCACCCATCCCAATACTTGACCCACCCTCACTGCATCTTTTTCTTTTTTCTTCAGTCAGAATTCCCACTGCTGCAGCTTATGTCTGTTGCCTTTCATCCTTTTGCTGTACGTGTCTGAAAAGAGTCTGTCTGTCTTCTCTACAACCACCCATTAGGTAGCTGAAGTCAGCAGTTAGGTTCCCCCCACCTTTAACCTTCTCTTCTCGAGGCTCTCATCCTTTCTCATGCATCATGTGCTCCATCCTCTCACCATCTTAGTGTCTCGTCACTGTCCATCTCATACGGGGAGCCTGAAGACGACACTACTCCAGATGTGGTCTTACAGAAACTGAATAGAGGAGCATGAATAATCACTTCTGTAGAGCCTGGTATGCGGATAGCCGCCTCTGTTGCAAGGGCACTTCATCTTCTTGCCCACCTGGGTTCCTGGGCCCTTTTCTTCCAAGGTGTCTTCCATCCAGTGGGCACCCAGCCAGCATGGATCTGTTTCTGGTGCGGGACTTCATCGTGTTTCCATCAACCCATTCCTCCAGCCATTAGTAATCAGCCACTGGTACAGCTAGGCTTGGAACCACTGACCATTACTCTTTGAGCCTGATGGCTGACCGATGTGAAACTTCACAGGTCCCATCGTGGCTACCAGCACCGCTCCCATGATAAACCACCTCCCCAGCCTGCCGGGGGAAGGGGAGGTGACTGCAGGCTGAGGCTGCATTAGGGATTGCTTGAAAAACCCAGTACAGGAAGCCGAAAGGAGACTCTGGGGAGCACTTTGGTAGTTACTTGAGCAGCATTAATTGGAGGAAGAAATCACATTCAGATAAAATGCTGAGATCCTATCCAGTTCAATATAACTCTATCTTGAAGGTTAAATCTAAATCCTGCCATCATCTAGATTTTCCTTCTAAATATTCCATTCCGCTGTCAGATAACCCAAGGAACTGGCAATGTTATTTACATAAATTTCATTTAAGAAGGGGTGGTTTCACAGGCTGGCATAGTGAATGAGAGCATAATCCCCATCTTTGAAGCTTTGATCACTGACTGAGCATTGTATTGCTTTGTATATTAGGAATATTTTGACAAAGATAACGAAAAGTATGCTGTGACCAGTACAATCGTTCTGATTTCCAAAATAGCCTATGATAACATTGGCAATAAAAACTCTCCTGGTGCATCGCATAGACTGAAAGCTTGATGTGCGTAACTGCAGAAGCTGCAGTAGTTCGTCAGCTACCAAAACGAATTTTGCAGGGATTTTAAGCTGTTGCGAAGGAGCAAAATAAAAATTCTGACTTGCCTCTCTTGGCTTTTCTCTCTGAAGCTGGGTGATGGGAGTCTTCATGCAAGTGAGGTGGGACAAAGCGCAGAGGCCTCACCTGATTGCCCTGAAGCAGCAAATACACGGGGCTAGGTCTCATCTGGGGGCCTGGGGTAAGTTTATGAGGTGCGGCTGGGGCTGTGGGGAGCAGGTGGGCTGCAGGGAGCCTGGAAGCTGCTGTCGAGCAGCGTGAGACTCATGAAGAAGCAGCAAGCAGTACTCTGTAGTAATCCAACAGGGTTGGCTTGGGTTTCTGCTACACTGGGAGCACTTAGGGATGAAGTACAGAAGTGACCACAGCTGAAAGGCCATTTATTTGCAGCTGTTTCTTCTCAGTTGTAGGTAAGAAAAGGATTTATATAATACAGGGCTGAAAGTGTGAGGTACCAACTCTCTCTCTCTTCAGTGGTGATGGCTCAAAGGGTTTGCTCCACTAAAGCCTCTTTTAGCAGATTTCTCTCTTCCTTCCCTTTAAAATATAGGCTTATCTAATGTAAAACTCTCTGATTTGAGAACAGAGGGGTAAAACTTGTTTCAAGTGCATAGTCTGCATCTGCTCCATGTTCTCAGCCTTGGGAACTACTGAAAGGCACACAGTGGAAAAGCATGAAACAGAGCTGACTAAGAAACCTGATATGAAACCTTTAAATCCACGTTCTCTTGCTTTTACACTTAAGTCACCTGTTTACTTTCGCTGGCTTGAAGGAAATGAGGGGAAAAAAGGAGGGGGAAAAAAAAAAGGATCTGTCAACTGTCTCTGCCTCATTAAAAAAAAAAACATTTTCCCAGCATTTACAGCTCAGTTAAACAGCAGCAAAAGCTTTAATGAAGTGTGTGGTTAAGCAAGCTATGGAAGAGTGCAGCATTTGATTTTATTTTGCTGGTGTAGGAGCTTAATCGCAGCAGCTTGCTTCCTAATGCTGCTCATCTTCAGGAGCAGTGGATTTACGTCTGAATGCTTCAAACACCTCGATGCGGCTGGGCTTTGAACCCCTTCCCTGCTGAGTAGGTGTCCCGGGAGGAAGGCGCCTTGGGCAGCTCTATGCCTGTGAGGCACCACCAGATAATTGTGGCGGGAGGGCTGCTGCCTGTCGCTCCGAATAATGAACGAGAAGGGCACCATCTTTCTGTGAACCATGCAGCAGAAGGGCAATGCTTAAAACGGAGATATATGTGACAGGGTACATGAATTACAGCAATTTGTTTTGTGTCTCTACCTGATTTTTTCTTTTTTTAGGAGGAATTAAGGAGCAGGGGAATAGGAAACTGCTACTTCTCTCTTGTACACTTTAAGGTTTGTGCCGGAAAACCTGACCTCTGTCAGGGCACTCCCTCTCATCCAAATGGGGGGGGGGCAGGAATCAAGCTTGACATGCTGGATTTTTAGTTGTTGACATTATTTACTGTGCTCTTAACAAACGATGCCCTAAGGAGAATGAGAATAATGTGCTCCAGCAGCAAAATATGCATAATAAAGAAGCAATTGCCTATGGTTTCCTGGGATTTCTTACTCCGTGCTCTCTACCTCCCTATTCCTTCATTGTTTCAAGCGAATGTGTATTTCGATTCTGCCATGCAAATATTCCGAAGCGCTCCCTACACCAAAGAAGAGGAAACGAAATATATTCAAATGACTGCTTCAGTGGCATAAGTTGTGTCTTGGTTTGCCAGAGACTTGGGTACATTCTTTAGTTGGCTGTATAACTCTGCTGTTGCTGCTTGTTGACTTGTGCTGAAGTCTTTTATGTGGCATATCTTGTTGTGAGCAGGGTTTTTTTCCTCCACTGTTCAATTAACTCTGACTGCTAATCAGAATGTTGCTGGGTAAACAGGATTGATCAAAATTAAAATTTTAATTTTGTGTTGTAAACAGTATAGCACTTTAATATTTGTACTGTTATTAAAGATACTAATAATAATGCATCTAGTATTTTGTGGTATGGTTTTCGTATTTATTTCTTGAAGTGCTGACAAGTTTTGCTAGAGAGCTTCACATTCAGATGCCAGGATTTTGTATTCCATGTATTCCCTTTTTCAAGGGTGACTGTACTTAATTATATTGGATATGGGTATCCTATTTATTCTTGCTGGTTTTAAATCTCATGGGGAAGAAATGTTTCTGTGACAACTGGGGACATTACACTGTAAGAAACAGCCATATCATGAATGCCTTCGTCTATATGAATCTACTCATTGCTCTTAATGCTGCTTATCTATCTTCCAGAGGAGAAAAACTAGAAGCTAGTTAGGTGTGGAAACACCTTAAAAGAGTGTTGGCTGGTGCTTGGAAACTTGCCCTGAGGAAAGGGAAAGGGGAAACTAGAAAGTCCTCAACAGCAAAACAAATTTGTGATGGGATGTTGAAGTCTGAGGATAAGAGGAAGAGAGGAAAAAGAAGCACATGTTTGCACAAGAGGTCTGTTACCTATCAGGCC